GCGCTGCCCGGCGCGCCGGCGCCAGCCGCGCCGCCGCCGCCGACGCCGGCAACATACAGCGGCAGCACATGCTCCTGCCGCCGCGGGCCGCGGTCCCAGAAGCTGCCAGGCAGCCAGACGCAGCTGGTGCTGCCCTGCGGCAGCGCCTCGTGCAGCAGGGGGCCGCCCATGATAAAGGCCACGCGGTCCACCAGCAGCAGGAGGTACCCCAGCGCCGCGCTGACAGCCTGCGGGGATGGCGCGGGGGCAGACCAGAGGAGGGCGCGCCGGTCGGTGGGGGCGGTAGGAAGACCACGAAACGTGATTGTGCGGGCGGCTCATCTGTCGCGCAACCGCTTGCTGTGGTGACAGCTCGGATGCTCAGCAAAGGGAGCCGCACGTTCCCTCGCCGGCGGCCGGGGCGAGGGCGCAAACGCGCCCCACCACCCCCCGCAGCGCCGACCCCCAAACCCAGGGGCGCCGCTCCCGCGAACCAGCGGCTCCTGCCAGCCGCCTGGCGGCGCGACCAGGGCGTCAGGCAGCCGCAGGTTGCACATCGTGATCTGGATCGGCGACCCCCCGCCCCCGCTGCCGCCGCCGCCGCCGCTGCCGCTCCCGCTGCCGCTGCCGCCTGCGGCCCCTGCCGCCCGCAGCGCGTTGATCCTCAGGGGGAAGATCTCAAGCAGCGCCCGCATGTGCATGCGCTGCTCCCTCGCCAGCATGGCGCTGACGTGGCTGAGCGTGAGGGACTGGTAGCGGATCTGGGTCGGCAGCGCGCTGCCCAGCGCCTTGGCGCGCGCGGCGGCGAGGTCGGCGAGCGCGCGCTCGGCGGCGGCGCGGCGGCGCTCGACAGAGGCACGCGCGTCCTGCTGCCACCGGAGCTCTGGGGGTGAGGTGGGGGGCGGGCGCGGGGGCGGGTTGCAGGGGAGGAGCAGAAGCGTGGGCGGGGTGACCGTGAGGACCGGCCTGCTGGGAGGAGGGCAGTTGTCGAGACAGAGGAGTGAAGGATCGCCGGCCGGGTTGCAGAGGAGGCAAGCCGCCTCTCTTGTCTAGTCCTGGTCGCGCCGCCCATCGCCGCTTGCGGCCGCTCGAGACATGTTGTGTGAAAGCTGGGCGAGCCGCCGGCGGGAGCAGGGGGTCGCAGACGCGCCCAGGCCGGCGGTGTGGCGGTGCTCACCCTGCTTCAGCTCAGCCTCCGCCGCCGCCTGCGCGGCGCGCGCCGCTTGCACCCGCTGCCGCAAGCGCCACAGCTCCAGCTGCTGCTGCTGCCGGGCCGCCTGTGAGGGAGCGCGGGCGGGCGGAGCTCTGGATGGCCGGAGCACGGCCTCCCAAGAAAAAAATCGGCCACAGTTCAACTGTTTCCAAGAAGGAGAGACTCGACCGCACGCAGGACAGGTTGTTGCGCGACGGCGCTGCTCGTTCGCCCGGGACAACGCCAGCCCAGGCCCTCGGTACGTTGGGATTGAGACGCGGCTGAGACACTTTGGAGAGGCCATGGCCATCATGGCTTGTCGCCTGCGCTGCAGCGCAGACGACGGGGCGCGCCTGGCGAAGCGCACGCACCCGCTTTTCAAGCGTCGCTTCCAGCCGCTGCTGCAGCACATCTCGTTGCTGTTGCGGCCTAAGATTGTCCCTTTTGTCACTGAAAAGCTCTTGATTGATGCAGTCCTGGCAGAGAAACTCTCGTTTTCTTGCCTCACAGACTGGACACGCTGGTGTGAGCATCGCCTACGCCTCCATATTTCAAGGTAAGTCTCAAATCAATGAGAAGCTGGCGCGGGCGTGCCACGCGCTGCGCTCCAGATCGAGTTGCGCGTGTACGCAACGGCTCGTAAACAGTGTTCATGCACGAGACAATCTCGATCGTGTATGAAGATTGCAGGGCCCCAACCTCGCAAATGTGCCAGCGACGGCACGGTTTCACCCGTCCGGAAGGGTCAACCATGGGTTGGTGCGCGGTGTGCCATGAGCAACGGGCAGGCTTGGAGCCTCAAGTCATGAAACCGTGCGACTGCTGCTTGTAAGGACAAGATTTTTTCATGCAACAGGTGAACATCTACCATCGCCGTGCGAGTGCAAGAGTGCCTTGTCCTTCTCTCTGGTCTCTGCATGCCGCCTGCAGAGCAGCTCAACTCGTCCTGCTGGCCCCATTGGCCGGGCTGCCTGAAACAGCGCTGAGCTGTGAGACAGCAAACCGCACATTCTCTGCCATGTCGATGATGCTGAATGTGCAAATAAAATCACCTGAACCCCGCCGCTGTGTCGCAGGCCGCTGCGGCTTAGAGTTGAGTAGATGCTGGGTCGGTCTTGTGGCTGCTCGCTTAGCCTCACCCACACAGAATAGGTAGGATAGGCTGAGAAAGCAACAATGTGCTTGCAAGTCAGGACATGTCAACCAAGCAAGTATATGAGGCCAAGGGATAACCGAACGTCAGACACAGCAGCATGTCTGGTGCAGCTTGAAAGCTGCATTGCACCGCCAAGCACAATTGGCTGCAGCTGCAGCCAAGATCTTGAGTCAACCTGGGCTGTCTAGGGTGCCATGAACAAGTTCTCCGCGCAGTTTCATCAACCCATTACCTCAAAATCTACGTGTTGCAGAGCCTGCTGCATGCAAAAGTGCAGTGATGATGAAGAAGCAGCACCTGCAGCCGCCCGTTGGCGTAATGTGCCGCATTCACCTCCGGGGCTAGGCGTGATTATCTTGCCAATCGAGGCACCCGCAGCAGGGGTGGTACGCCGCCATGTTTCCACGCGAAACTGTGGCTCTCCAAACGGCAGAGACCAAGTAGGTCTTAACATCAATCGTGCTACTGATGTGCCTTTGAGAGAGCCAAGGCTGATTCAACACTCTTGCCTGCCATACCGTATTCATACATCCTCTTACTTGTAGTACCAGAACTTGTAGTACCAGAACCTGGTCACAGGGCGGCCTGTGCCATATGAAAGCGCGGTGCCCGTTGCAGAGAGCATCCCTGACTGCGTGGCTCTGAGCTGCCGCCAACCGACCCCAACTTCATGTTCCGCAAATGCTGCTGTCCTCCTAAAGGCTGACGTCAAGATCAGTTTTTATATTCACACTGAATTTTTCTTGCGGCGTCTATTCTCCTTTCGGTTGCCCAGTAGTTTCGTAGAGTGGCGGACTGCTCTCATCATCTCATAAGCGTGGCACGACCAAGCACGTACGTGCCAGAGGAATCAAACAGACCTCTCAGATTTTTCTTCTTATATGTTGCAGAACTCTAGCACTCGTGACTCGTGTAGTGATCCCACGACTTGGGGATCTAAGCGAATGCACCTGTTTATACAGGTTGTGTGGTTGATAAATTCCGACTTTTGATTGCTGTGCGAGCCTGAGGGCTGTGCAGGTGCTGTCGCCATTGGCGAAGGCGGCACCGACGCAGCACGCTCCGCTGCGCTGCGGTCCTCACCTGCGGTGAGGTCTACAAGACAGGCCAACCGGCCGAACCGCGCAGTGAACCGTGCTGCCCACGTTGGCCGGTCGATCGAGGCAGCATTTGCCATCCCTCCGTCAGGACGCAGCAGCTGGCAGCGCTGCGCCGGGCTCGACCTAGCCGTGGCAGGCGCCGCCACGGCAGGCGGCGCTCTGCTGGCGATGGACGACCCGGAACGGCGCGCGCTGCTGTATGTGCAGCAGTACCTCCAGGAGCTGGGCTACGCACAGGGTGCGCTCGGGGCCGCCGCTTTCCCATCACCGTCGGGTCACAGCTGACGCCGCCACCCCCACCACCCAAAATAGCCCCAGTATTGAGGCAACACCCATCCCCTTGCCTCACCCGGCTCGCGCACCACAACAACACCTCACGCGCAACACCCCTTCCTTCCCTGCGTTGTTTGACGCGTCACCAGCCCTGGCCGCCCTGGAGAAGCAGTCTGGGCTGCTGTATGACGAGGACAAATACAACCGCGGCAGCGAGCTGCTGCAGGTGAGGCCGCCGCGGCAGCAGCCACCCATGCGGCCTCTGCGCTTCCACAGCGCTCGCCTCGGTCTTATTGATGGGGCGCGCCTTTGGGACCACACTGACAAATAACAAATTCGGCTGACACGGAAGGGGGTGCAGTTCCCACCACTGAACGGTGGACATGGCGCACTCCAGGCGGCTGAGCACACAGCACTACGCCCAGCCAGCATCGGCTCCCCATGCTCGGTGAGTCAGCCAGCCGACCGCGCCTCAACCCTGCGCGGCCGCCGCCTCCGCGCGCAACCTCGGACGCAGCTAGTGTACGACCAGATGGAGCGGGAGGCGGACGATGTCGGCCCCGCCGATGCCGCCGCGCGCGCCCGCGCGGACGAGGAGCGCGCGCTGCTGCGCAGCGGGCGCGGGGACGTGCCGGCGGCGCAGCTGGCGGCGGTCGTGGGGGCGCACGCGGCCAACATTTTGGCAGTCAGGATTTGGCCGGGGCGGGACCTGCTGGCAACGGGGTCAGGTGGGCTCCTGACTGGGTTGCTGGGTTGCGGCGCAGTGCTCCGCACTCAGCTTTGCCCTCACGGCTCCACAACAGCTGCCCATCTGTTATTGCAGCGCTGCAAGGCATGTGGTGTTGCGACGGTGTGATGCGTTTTGAGTAATAAAAAATGCTGTCTGTGCTGATTCTGGTCTGCTGCATCCTCCTCCTCCACACCCTTTTCCCTGCGCTCCCATCATTATGATACAACGCCCCCAGCCGACGGGACCGTCAAGCTGCTGCGCTTCGACGGCTCCGAGGTCTGGAGATCCGCCGTCGCCACTGGCGGCGCCTTAAGCCTCGCGTGGTCGCCCCTCGTAACCTTGGACGC